ATACTATATATATATATATATATATATATATATATATATATATATATATCACTACAATTTAGTAAGCAAGTTTTTCATAATAAAACAAAAGTGAGGTGAATTTATTTTTTACATATCAAAGTATTCAAAAATAAAAAGATAAAAAATGGTATGTTGATAGTGCTTATAGTAATCATACGATAGCGAAAGAAAATATTTTTCTTAACATGAATACCTCATTTCAATATAAAGTTAGGATGGGTAATGATGAACTTATAGAGGTGAAAGAAAAGTACACAATTAGTGTTCAAACAAAAAGAGAAGTTAAAAAAAATTCATAATGTGTTTATTTGTATCATATTTAGATCAGAATCTCTTAGCATTGTGCAACTTATGGAGCTAAGTATTCTCTATATTTTGAAGGTGATAAATGCATTATCTATAATAAAAAAATAGAAGATAAATATTAACACAAGTAAGAATAACAAACGTGAGTATTTCACTTTCTCTTAGATATATAAATAATGTTGCTAGAAGATCCAATATGATAGATGATTCATAATTATGACTTGGTCACTTGAATTTTGGTAGCCTCAAGTTTATATCCCAAAGATCATTGATGAAGGACTATATTTTATCAAATAAAAGCAAGGAATTTGTGAGAGAATATGCACTTAGAAAGCATCATAGGCTATCATTCCCTAAAGATGTTGTTTGGAGAGCTAGAAAAATACTTCAGTTATGATACAAAGACATTTGTGGATCCATAAAGACCCCGTATAGAATAAGTACTTTATTCTCTTTTTATTGATGATTACACATGCATGACTTGAGTTTATTTTATGAGACAAAAATTCAAAGTTTTTATAATTTTTAAAAAAGTTCAAATGGGAATGGAGTTTGATAAGTTTTTATTGAATTATGAATTTTGATGATGAAACTAATTGATAGTGTTTATGATTTGATTTGCGTTTTAAGTGACGCAGGAAGCTTCGATCACGGAGAGACAACTAAAGCAAGAAGAATCATGTTGGGCCAGAGAGAAACATGTCAGAAGATTGTACGTCGAGCTAAAGGATCGGTCGATGTATCGATAGAAGGCCTCATGCCATGGGTTCGGGCATCGGGCCAAGAAGAGCGAAAATTGCGTCAAGAAAATCAGAGTTGCCGAGGTCAACTAGCCGATTGGGCAATAGGCCGTAAGATAGGACGATGCGCCGAAGAATTGGACGAAGGGTCGATAAACGAATGACATGGCAAACAACATAATTCAAGCTTTGTAATAATTGTCTAGATCGAAGGAGGTTTTATTTGTACATGATTAACTACGATAGTGATCAAGGCATAAAGCAAAATGAAGTCCCATAGTCAAGAACAAGACTTCATTGGGAGTTCGAGAGTTTGTCGAAAGTCCAAACATTCATCGAAAGTTCTATCGAAATTGACTGAGAAGTCTAGGAGCTTGTCGAAGAAACTCGTCGGAACTTACCAAGAAGATTGTCGTGAAATCTAGGAGCTTACCGGGAGTCTGCTTGAACATTATCGAGAGATCATCGAAAGTTCACTAGAAGATCGTCGGAAACTCGCCGGAAGAAACCTAGATTAACTGGACCGGATTTGCTTAGTATATACCTTAAATTTCATGGTTAGTATATAATTGAGATTCAAATTAGGTCAGCCCAATTAGGAGCTAGTTGGGCCCATGTATGGACTGTGTTGGACTAAGTGAAAGGCTCAAACAATGACCCAACAGATGATAACATTATGACACAGTCATCGAGATTGTATTAGACAGTGATACCGTAGGTAGTACCTGGGTTTAAGAGTGATACAAATTAAAGGAAAATAACTAACTTCCTTCTTTTCTCTTAGAAATCAAATGTAATATATTAATTATACAAATCTAATAAGATCGCTAAGATTTAATGATCCTCTCTCTACCCAACTTATTCCAATCATTATAAAACATTTTGGTGTCATGATTCTCTCTCTACGGACGGACGAGTTGGGTTTTGTTCCTCCTCACGTATCTTGTTGTTTAGTGAAGTAGTAGATAAAGGTAGCGGAAGGTCACTGATACTGTTGAGAATTAGGTAAGAGCTTAGAAGCGCAACAAAAGCTGCGCCGGTGCGCTCTTCAAGGCAGCACTGGAAATAACCTTTCCATACACCAACCTGAGTTTGCGAAGTCAGTGACAAAAATAATGATGAGTATAAAGGGTTTTTGGAGGAGACTGTCAACTGGCGGAGCGGACGGTGTCTTGAAACCTATAAACCCATTCTTCAACGTATAGATCAATCCACGTACTTTAAGGATGATGACACGATGCGTGATTCATCAGAAAAAAAAGCTCCCAAAGGCTATATTTTGATACATCTCATCAAAAGATTGATTCCCCACCGGATTTCTTGTTTGAGCTCATCATACGGACGTGATGTCATGCAGCAAAGTAAAATGGCTTCGGGAACTCCAGCAAGCCTTACTGTATGATCCGATGCTTGTAAGCTTTTTCTTGCTTTTTTACTTCTTTTGAGAATATACAAGTGGCGAGAGAGAGCATCCAATCCTACTACAGTGGTCGTTACATAGATAGATGCGATGCACATTTTGGTTGAGAGTGGTCAGATGCATGCATGGTGTATAAATAATGTCACCGTTCTTATCACTGGAAAGTGTCCTATTTTTCTCTTTCTTTTTTTTTCGATTTGGGTTTGATTGGATTTGTTGGTTGACAAAATGACTTTTTCCTACGACTATAAAGGATGCCATCAAGTCAAAACAATGTAAAAGAGAACAAAAGAAGATATGCAATTTTAGTTCCGATTTTATTAACTTTGAAATTAAAATTGAATTCCTTTCGATCGTCTTTATGTATTTTTAGATTTAGACGAGGAGAAAATAAAATATAAATTCTTTAGGTTTATGTGAGACGATTTGTAAGGACAACTCATGGTCTTATAATTGATATGAAGAAATTAATTTTGTTCGACGTAAACGTAGACGTAGATAGGAGTTATCGAACTATGTTAAATATTACGACGGATTTGCTTTTGATTGTTGATCTTTGATCGAACTATATTAAATATTTATATTTAACTGATTTGAAATAGTTTGATTTGGAATCATCAAATTCATTGCGATTCACCCACAAGTGTGTTAGCCTTTCACCAAACTATAAAATAAGATACTAAAATCTTCACTCACTCAGTTGACCACCATTTTGGGATAGTAAACAGCGGCCACATCGGACGACGCCGCCCACCTAATCTCCAAGGAGCTAATGCTTCTGGATTGAGACGCAAAGGGATGAACACCAGTTGACCACGCTTTGTCCCCAATGGAAATTAGCATACGTCCCTAACTTGAAACATACTGTCGCCACCTTTCTGCATCTGCAGCATGAAAAAGAGAAAAAGAGAGAGAAAAAAGGAAGCGAGGAAGAAGCGCTTTTCATGCGTTATGACCGAAAAGGACCGACATACAGCAAGCGACGCTTTCCAGTTTCCACCACATAGCGCTATCGGGATGAGGTTTGAAGGGCCAGTGGGAACGGCAGGTATGCGTGTGTGTGTGTGTGTGTTGGCTCCTCTTATCCACGTGGCAACTGATGGGACCCACGATATGAATCTTGTATATTTTATTCGATTTATACGAAGAGAAAACGAGATATAATATTTGTTGGGTGTGGCCATTAGGTGGTCGCAGCAGCAGCAGCAGCCGCCGCTTCCGTAGGCGTTGGTATGGCTCGCGTGATCAATTATTGCATGTACCTGTACGTGATCCATCTTTATAACGACGACTGTCCACACTGGTAAGAAGAGTATTTCACAGAGGGAAGCCCGGAGCTCCTCCGTCTCCTGTCCCAACCATGGGTAGAAGCTCATGCTGCTCCAGGGAGAAACTCAAGAAGGGGGCTTGGAGCGCCGTCGAGGACAAGGTGCTCCGTGACTACATCAGAGTTCATGGCGAGGGCAAGTGGGGAAAGGTCCCCAAGAAAGCAGGTGCAACCGTAGCGACGCATGGCCTCTTTGTTCTTGAAGCTTTTCTTTGCAACATGCGCTCTCCTTTCTTTTGGTTCTCTATCTATTTGTTTTTAGTCGTTATAGACATCGTCTTGGTTTGTGAAGTGAGAAGTGAGCTGTGTTCATGATGCGGTTTCAGGGCTGAATCGGTGTCCCCGGAGCTGCCGGCTGCGGTGGCTGAATTATCTGCGGCCGGATATTAAGAGGGGGAACATATCCGATGAAGAGGAAGACCTCATCATCAGACTCCATAATCTCTTGGGAAACAGGTATTTAGTGTTCTGCTCGCACGAGACCATGTAGAGTAACTCCTTTGCTGATCTCTCTGCGTCATGCCCACTCGCAGGTGGTCTCTCATAGCCGGAAGACTACCGGGTCGAACAGACAACGAGATCAAGAACTACTGGAACACCGTCCTGAAGAAGAAGCTGCAGGCTCAGCCGGTTGCATCGACGGCAACCACCGTCCTGCACTCGGACCGGGATGGAGCCGCGACCCTCAAGAACGAGAAAGAGGCCGAGGCCTCAACGCAGTGCAGCCAGGACCGCGCCGCGAGCCGTCATCAGCAATCGGGCAGGAGCGTGCAGAATGTTCATTGCAATCGGTTCAACTCGTCGGCGCCGGCGGTCGGAGACCTCCATTCCGATGGTTCTTCCATGGCGGCCGAAGAGTGCGATCTGTTTGACATACTCAAAGGTCTCGATACCGAGGAGCTCTGCTCGAGGTATCTTCTGGAACTAGACTTCTTCCAGCTCCTTGGGAGCACTGTCCCACAGGACACGAGAGACTGGTGTGGTGGTGGTGGTGGTGGTGACTCCTATGTGTTCTTCGATGATAGATTGCTCCTCGAGGGTGCTATTTCTGATACTTGGATTGGTGGCGAGCACATCTGATCTTACGGTGGTCCAGCATCTGATGATTTGGTACATTCTTCCAGTCCAAATCAGAATATGAGTTTGTGGACCAAACATGTGGTTTTAGAGTGGCATGCTCAGACAATAATAGTGTGCCCTCTGTCACTCTCTATGCAAATGTTTTAGCAGTGTAAGCCTTTACCTTTTTCTTTTTGGGTTCTTCAACCTTTATGCATCAGAACAATGAGTAGTGCTTTGCAGCTACTGCAATGGTCCCACAGTTTCAGCTTGGATATGGTAGGTCCAAAAGAAAGCAAAAAGCAACCACTGGTGAAAGCTCTGCTCTGCACTTCCCGCGTTGATATAAGAGACACAGATTGGAATTTAGAAGAAGAAATTGATTTATCAAAACCTTTAAAACTCCATAAAGTACATTTTTGATTGAGGGAACATAAAAAAAGTTAATTTCTTACCCTCTGAGAGATGCTAGTAAGAATGTCAGCTAACTTTCAGTAATCATATTGGCCGAAAGTAGTGTTTGTTTCTCAGTCTGAAGGCATCAGGTGCCGATATGGATGATCGTCTTCCTTGATCATAATTGATCGGGGTTGAAAGCATCAGCTCCTGAGCTACGATTCTGTCGAGGTATTGGCAGTCCTGTACGTCTTAGCATGATGGCATCTTGCTTTAAGGAGTGACAGAAAAAGGTGCAGAAATCATTCATGACTGTAGCAGCTCAGCTTTCATCTGTAACTCTATGATGAAGCCTTTTACCAAAACTCCAGTGTAATAGAAAGACAATTTGATTTATTCCACCTAATAGTCCTACATCTACCGCAGCAAAGGGAGGATTGGTGCATTAGGACTGGTGCTATCAGGCGGGGGGCAGTGAATGAACTATTCGGATAGGGATGAAAAGTACAGAAAAGGACTCGGGACATCTTTGAAACGCAAAGAGCTTTCATTGCGCAGTGGAGGATGCGTAAGGCATTATTCCAGTCTGAATCAGAATGTGTGTGGAACACAGACATGCTTTATGAATTTTTCTGGCACTGCTCAAAACCCCTCTGTTTCCCTACCTAATTTGCTTAGCCTTAGTTGATTCCAACAAGAATGTTCTGCTCTTAGTCATCATTACTCATCCTGAGCTTTGATTCCCACCTTTGGCTCTTCCAACCTCATGAACAATGCACTGCGGTTAGTTCATCGTTCCAAGCTGCACATACAAGATCAAAGACAACAACAACAAATCTTACTGAGGAGTAGGAAACTGATAGTGCGTAGAATAAGCTAACATAAGAAATCAGAGCAGCTTTCGTAGTTGCTAAAAGATTAGTCTGTTAAGCCATAAAGAACGTCAGCTAACCTCAAGCAACCACAATTCAATGGCATTAGAAAATTGGAGGTCAAAGCATGAAGCTGTGAGAATACTATTAACAACATTGCTCTGTTCCTCTACGAGGCTAGAACGAGGACATGAACAACTTGTGTCCGGCTTCTGGCCTTAAGAACAGAGTACTTTGCAGCTACCTCTAGTTGATAATGACAATTATAAACAGCTGCGGTCAGTGGTTTGGTTAAGATTAATAAGCCGATAAACCCTAAAAAATAAGAGGTTCCAAAACAGCAGGTGTTGTGTTCGTCATATCGTCTTGTCGAACACAGTGCTCGATCATGATACTCAGGATTCGGGCACATTCCAAGCAAGCTTAGTTGTCCTCAGCCCTACTGGTCCCAACATTTACCGTAGCGATTCTGAGGGGTGGTGCGTGTTTGGGGTAGTGAGAAGCGTTTACAATGGCCGATGAAGAAGGATAATAATTCAGATACGGTTCTTGGTGTGGGTAAGAGGTAATTTAAGGGGACTAAGCCATTGATCAAACGATAGCTACTGTGTCCGAGGAATCCCATGGTGGTTTACCGAGGTGGGACAAGACGAGGGAGCAGAACTCGGTGAGTGGCGATGACCCTTTTGAAGTCTTTTAACGGTGCACAGCAGCGACGTGTCTTTTTCATGCATGCAGCGAACGTGCAGGGTGGGGTGGGAAGAAGGAAGTGGGCGAAAGTGACGCAGACGAAGAAGGTGTCTTTTGTAATTTCCTGAGGCCGCGTGGGTCGTCTCGTCCTTTCGCGTGTTTAGTCGCTTGGATTAGGTTGAAGATGTAATTAATTATATCTATCTTTTCTATTTAAATAAATTTGATTAACTCATTAGATAATTAACTTAAAAATATTTAATAAATTACCACGAGTTAATATCCACCGGGAAAAAGAAAGAAAGTACGGATAAGAGAATATTAGGACTTTTATATTATTGACTTTGCCTTAACCGAGTGGAAAGAGTTAGAGTTTGGTATAAGTTGTTAGAATATGAGATATATGAAGAGATGACATTAAAAGGTACGTATCTATACATTTTTTATTTCAATCCTAACATATAAGTTATTTTCATATTTTAAATATAACATAATTATAGACTTTATGCTTTCACGAGTCTCTAACAAATAATATAATATCGGCTAATGAGGACATCATTAAGATCGACAAATTATCTTCACACGGATACAAATCAATCTATCACTCCAAAAATATTATTTAAAAAGAATATTTTTTTTATTAAAAAAATTTATAATTTTTCTCTTTTATTTTTGTGCTCGAATCTATATATAAAAAAAACACAGAACGAAAATTATCTGAAATGAATCAATAAATTGAGTTTTCATGACTGATTGATTTCATCGTCCACATGTAAAATCTACTGTTACTAATTGTACTAAAAGATCAAATTACATAAAAAAAAAGGTAATGAAGCGAAGTCAAACTGTGAGATGAAAATATATTTGATTTGAGAATTATAATCGAGTTATAAATCATACAAAATTCCTCCCAACATATGAAAGTATTAGGAAGAACTGCGAACTCGCTGTTTTCCTTCTCCGGAATCGAAGTGTTGGCCGCTGGATTTAATTTTGTCGGTACGAACTAAGGTACCTCTTTTCGTCACGAGGCAAATAGAAACGGGATCCACTTCACGGGTGTCAGATGACGCCGTAGGTGAATGACGTGGTGGGTCCAGCACTTGGTACTGTCAGCGGTTCTGAGTTGGTACCTCATGTTCTTTAAACAGCAGCACATCATAGTGTTCCAACGTTTTGTTCAGATAATTTCTCTGGAATCACATGAGTTGTTCTTCTTTTATCGGATTTTGTGAGGACTGGTAAATAATCTCTAATTCATTATCTTCCGACGTCTTTAATTTCCAAACTGTCTTCTTATGATTCAAAAAATAAAAAGAAAAATCGAATCGATTTTACGAATTTAGCATTCTAGAAAAGTGGATATATACATCCAAATCAAATTGTTTCAGATTGTCTGACATATTTATTGATAACATTGATAAAACATTTCTGTTCATCAAAAAGAATATCTTAATTGTATTTTATGTTCTGATAATCAACTTGAGAAACATACAGCCTGAACAAGTGAGGACGAAAAGTAGGAGGTTTTCTTTGAGTAGCACAAACGTACACAATAGGGATGCCGACATTTTAACACAACATTTTCTGAGAGCAGCTTACACTTCTAACTCAGCAGGCTCCAATACTATGACTCAGACTGGAAAGTTTACAGCAAATAATTTAATGTCCATACCGGCATATAATTTGACAATGTCCCCCAAAACACACTGTTATCCGGAGATACACAAGGATCACCACCACCACAAAGTTTCATGTTCTTTTGGGAGATTGCTCTCAAAGATTTCGAAGAAGTTCAGGTCCAGAAAGTGTCTTGGACAAAGCTCCTCATGGTTGGAATCCATCAGTGGATTAAATAGGTCACAATCTTCGGGTGCTAAGAAAGAAGTTTCTGAAAAGAAATCTCCATCGACCAGCGACTCTCCGAACTTGTTTTTCCCATGCTGAGGAAAAGAGGGAGGGTCGTTGCGGCCAGTTGAATTCCCAAATTTCGGGCATCTGGTCGTTTCTTGGCTCTTGCCATTCATATGCTCGTCTTCGCCTGAATGCATGTCGACTGACTGACCTTGTACCTTCTTCTTTAGGACTGTGTTCCAATAGTTCTTGATTTCATTGTCTGTTCGACCAGGTAGTCTTCCGGCTATCAAAGACCACCTGTAAGTTGAGCATGAAAAAGCTCCATAAGAAATCATTTGCATGGTCCTAAGCAAATAGTATAAGTTACCTATTTCCCAAGAGATTATGAAGCCTGATAATAAGGTCCTCTTCTTCATGGGATATGTTCCCCCTCTTAATATCAGGACGCAGATAATTCAGCCAGCGGAGACGGCAGCTTCTTGCACATCGACTTAGGCCTACAACAACACCAAATTTGGGTCATAAACTAATAAGAAGCTAACTCAGTATGAAAAAAAAAAGTCCAACAAAGCAAGTTACTTAAAAAGGATTCAAATGGTCTGTTCGATTTAATACTAATTCGAAGTAGTAAATCTTGTATCCAGAAAACCAGTGTCAATAAATGAATGCATATCAGTCTTTGAGTTTTCTGTATAAGAATAAAGATACAGAGAAGCCAAAGAAAAAGCCTATATGATTTCAAAAATAGAAAGAACATAAGATTTAGCCCCACAATTTGCAATCACCACTGACAGAAAGAATAAAGAACCACTAAAGCTAGTTCACGGAACTTGAAAGAACCTGCTCCTTTGGGAACCTTCCCCCACCTCCCTTCTCCATGAGCTCTGATGTAGTCTGTCAGGATCTTGTCCTCAATGGCACTCCAAGACCCCTTGTTAAAGCCCTCCTTGGAGGAACATGGGTTTCTACGCATGCTTAAGGGCAAATCTTACAAGCTCGAAGCTCCTCTGTGGTATCAAGCCTATCTGTGGATTCAGTCCTAAGTGGACAATCTCTCTCTCTCTCTCTTTCTTTCTTTCTCACACACACACACTCCTAGCAGTCTCACTTTCACATACATATAACTGAGGAACCGGTGGGGGAGTTCCATAGTGGTTCAGTGGCAGGTAAGAGCCGTGTGGTCATTTGTGTGATGTGGATGTGGCTGCTATGCTAAAATAACAGCATCACTGGAGGTTATTACACCAATTGAATAGAACACTAATCATTCCCATCAACATCAGAAAGTGGACTTCAATGTGTTAGGCCACAACTATGCACCTCATAATAGCATGATGAAGGCTACTACACCAATTGAATAGAACAATAATCATTCCCGTCAATATCAGAAAGTTCTTCAATGTGTTAGGCAACAACTATGCACCTCATAATAGTATGATGAAATTCCACATGTGAATGAATCTACTGCACCTGCCATTCTCACTAGTCCTTCAAAGCTTGTGTCACCACTGCCATTGTCCCAATGGTGGACATAGTCTGTAAGTAGTAGATTGTCCACTGTTTGCATCAATGTTATGGCTAAACATGTAGTTTATGTACTGCTCTAGATCATTTTAGCAGGATCCTGAATGCATGTTTACACAGGGCAACCTGCAGATGAAAACTATATCTTGATGAACAGGACAAGATATAATCTATAATGACATCACATAATTCTTAAAACAAAATAAGTGGAAAACCTATTTGAAGCTAGAACCCATAAATAATCTACATTATATAATGAAGAGATAATTATACTATTGGTCCATAAATTATGAGTCATTGTACAATTCCATCCTTTTATATTTAGTTGTCAAATTGAGTTCTCATATATTTAGTTTGAGCTTACAATTATTCTAATGGTTTTTAGGTTAGCTGACTGTTATTCCAAGTGGAGCACTCGCTTAAACACTCATCATTGAATGGCTTCTAACTTGGTCTATCACTTCTGACCTGGCCACTGATCTTAGAAAAGAAAAGGTAGTTGTGGCATCTCCGATCACATCAACTCCAATTCCACCATAAAGTAAAAAAAAAGAGCGGAAAGTAGCTTTTCTCCAACTAGTACACAGGAACTAAAGAAGAAAGCCCCCCAGCCTCCATCTTTATCCTCCTCTTCAATTCTCATCTAACAATTAGATTCAGCTTTTTTACTAAAAAAAGAAAAAAAAATTGCGTCATCTATAGGATTGCTAGTCGCAGTGGTAAGGCAGCAAGGTGTGGGGAACTATGATAAATTCCCATGATGTGCTGCTGCAGCCCAGAAGCCCAGAGGTGGACTTCATGGAATTCTAAGAAACCAAAAAGAAGGTATTTGTTTTCTTAAGTTTAAAGACAATGACTGAAGTTTCTTCATATAACATGATGCAACAGACAAGTGATCAAACAAGAGATGTGATTAAGAATCTCAGAGGCAATAAGAGGCTTTAGCTAATAACAACCATCTGTCAACTCACAATGGAGATTCATAATTTTTGTGAAGACAATTGCTAAAATAAAAGATGGACAGACAATTGTAGGTAGTCAGAGTCTTTTGACAATGGCAGATAAAATATATATGTTTTTGTTGCTTAGTGTCTTGGGTAATTACCTTAAAAGTGCCATTTAGCTTGGAGATGTGCCAGTGGAGACAAATATTAGCTTAAGGATGGACATAATCATGATAATGTAATGATTTTGCACTGATTTGCTTTAATAAGCAGGGGTAAGAAATGATAATATAATGCTTTAATAATGTCTTTCGGAATGGTAATTCTTTTCCAACTGCTAATCATTTCAACAGCTAATTATTCTGTACCTTGTACTGAATTTTGTAATGCTCCATCCTTTTTAAACTCCATAAAAGTAATCATTTCAACCGAAGAATGTTGCATGTAAGATGTGCTGCTACATGTGAAAGAAAATAAAGCCTAAACAATGTCCAAATCTGTATTTTTCTAAAACACGAATCGGCAATCTGAAGTCTGAACCATATTCAATTAACAAATCATTGATCTTCACATCTTCCACGATACCTCATGAACTGAAATGCCACTTGCACTTACTTTTCTTATATCAGCGTGCTCATGATCATTGAACCCTTAGTCGTCAAAATTATCATCTTCTATAATTATCAGAACCTCAAATGCCGCCTCCTAAATGGTCTAGCAGCATTGGCCTCAAATGCCTATCCTTCGATACTCAGCAATCGAATCAGCTCACATCGGTGCACACATGTCTTCCACATTTTATCATCAGGTATCGACAGAAGGTCCTTTCTAGGTCATCTTCAAAACCCAATATACTAACAATCCTGAATTGGGATCCCAAGGACTCCTAAATATTCACAACTGTCTAATCCATGTCCTTCCACTGTGCTTCACATCCACCCTACTCATCTTTCAACTTTGGCTTATGCACAAACTGATCTCAGACAAAGAACCTCAATGTGTCTTGGACATCCTCACACACAACTGCTCCGAAAAGTAAAGCAAGAACCCAACAGAGCTCCTTGCTACAAGATTCTGAGCGAAACCAGTTCCTAACAGCTCTGTTTCCCATAGACTATGTGTGGCCCTGCACATATGGGACCACAACCCACTCAAAACCCTTCAAATCATTACAAAAAGACCAAGAAAAAAAAAAGATTTGCACTTGTGAAATCCAACGCGAACAAAATCTTCTGCGGAACGTACTTGGTGTCTCTGTCGTCTTGTCGTTTACCGATTCCGCTCCAAGGGATCGCCAAGAGGAAGCAGAAGCCCCTTCTTCGATTCCAGCGAAAGGGCAAAAGCAATTAAAGGATAGGGTGACTTCTTTGATTCCAGTCGGTTCTCCCGACGAAGAACGAATCCCTTTCCGCTTTTTGGCTTTATGGGAAGATGGGTCTGTTGTGGTCGCAATAATTCAAAGTCAACCGTCAAAATAATAGTGACATGGCAGGTTACATTGTAATCTGTGTCATCCTTCTGTTAAATTTAACATAAATATAAATATATATATATATATATATGTTACTGTAGTTAAATTCAATAACATCATTAATATTCAAAACTATAACTAACATTATACCCCTCATCTTCAAATGATGAAACTAATAAATAGTATTTTAGGTATTTAAAATGATAATAATTTTAAACTCAAATCAGCTGCATATGATCTACGCATTAATCATATATTATTATATAGACGTTAATGAAGTGACGATATTTAAATATTTCAAGGATCATATATGCTATATTCAGATATTATGACCAACTTAATAGTTATGTCACGTAATGTACTTACTGAGAGACTTGATATCATGATCAACAAAGGTTTTAGTAAAATCATATAATAAATAGTAAAATTATTCGAATCAATTGTTTCAAATTCCTTAGATGAATTTCTGAATGTTTAGCAAACTTTTTACAGGATTTACAAAGCTTTCTAGAGATTCCATGTGGATTAATTACATATTATTATCTCCTGTATATAGATCCTATTATCATCATAATTTTTATACTTAAAAAATTTATATTAAGATCCTTATAATTTAAAAAAAATAAAAAAATATATATTATTTATCCTAACACTATTAATTATATTAATAAAAATTATAACATGCGATATTATGTGATAAAAAATGATAGTCAAAAAAATAATTTTAACCTTTATTTTTTTCTAATGATTTTATTAGCAAAAATATAATTTCAACGATGCACGTGTTGAAACTAAAAATAATATTAATTTTATCTTTTTAACTATCATTTTTGTATTGATCTAATATATGGTGTCACATGTTTTATTTTTTGTCAATACAACTAACTGATATTAGAATAAATAATATTATTTATTTTTATTTTTAAAATTATATGTATCTTAATATAAAATTTTGAAGTATAAAAATCGTAGTGTTAATTATTAGCCCTATATTAATTAGAATTATATTACTAACTAGAAAGAAGTAGAGGTTCGGAACGAGAGATATAATGGTCTCTCCTCAACCGGAACTATTCTTTAGACTCGATTCAAGCCGAGCCAAGTTTCCTTCTTCCGAGGTTTCCAACGTTAGTAGTTAACCATGGGATAAAGCTGTTATGGTTGGTACCAGACAGCTTCAAACATCCAATATATCGAAAAGTATTATCTAGCATAATTAATAAAGACTTTTGATAAATGATTATAAACCTCACTTATTTTCTTTATAAATAATAAAAACTACACATTTTCATGCCTAACTTTTTCTTATTATCCAAACCGCCTGTTGTGGGCCACAATGGAGGAACGTGGGACCATAATGGAGAGCGCGTAATCCACAAAAATATTATTTTCTTTTCTTTTCCTTCAATGAGCCTCCGCCCTCACCAAACAAAGCGGATGATGGCAAGGAACTAAAAGAAAAAGGAGGAAGAAGAAGAAGAAGAAAAAGAAAACATTTTCGATTTTCCAGAACCGCAACCACTTCTCCGTCCGCCATCCTTCTCTCTCCCTCCAAAGTATATGTGGTTCCGCAACCACCGGAATGAGGCGGAGCGGCCCGCCTTCGGCCGGAAACGCTGACCCTACCCCTTCTCCACCCCCCACCCACCTTCCATGGAGTCGCGATCTCTAATCCTCGCCGTGCTCCTGACCGTGCTCCTTTCCCCCCACCTCGTCTCCGCCGATGTCCCCTCCTTCGGCCCCTTCCCGTCGCCGTCGTCATCCCCATCCCCATCCCCATCTCCGTCGTCATGCCCATCCCCGTCGCCGTCGTCATTCCCATCTCCGTTGCCGCACACTTACGCCACGCTGCAGAATCATGTGACATCGACCGCCCGCCAGCTGCCGCATCAGCCTAGTAGCAATGACGGCCACCAGGAGCAGCCACCGGCGCCGCCCGGAAATTTTGACCGGCTCAATCTCGGGGAGAAGGTTGGGCTGGCGTTTCTCGCCGTCGCCGTGGCGCTCCAGGTGGTGCTGGGGGGATTCCTGGTCTTCCAGAGACAGCAGTTGAGGAAAATGGAGCGCGGGGATCGGCTGATGGCGGAGGAGCCTTCCTCTTCCTCTGCTTCCTCTTCTTCTTCGTGATCCTTGGGATTAGGATTGGGGCTTCCCCAAAACCCAAGTTTTTCCTCTCCCATGGATGGAAAAAGTTGTTTCTTTCTTATCTTCCCCGAGCCACCGCTAGAAATCGGTTCATTCAGAATCCAATTTTGAGTCTCGCGCTCGGGAATCGGATGCTCGGTGATCAGGTACGTCTTGTATGCAACAACGAGGCAAAATTTGAAATCTGTGTCATGTTTCATCCCCTAATCCTCCAAAATTTGCCATATACACAATTGTCAATCGTCCATAGCCAGATCCTAAATAATTTCATCTGCCTTAAAGATCCATTCTTTTCTTCTTTTCGATCAATGTTTGTTGGTTTCTACTCTCATCTACATCTCCGTCGTGTTATTCCCCGTACGATAGGAGCGTGCAGCAATCCCCTCTTTCTCTTTCTGCATGTTTTCCAAGAATGATGTTCTCAGAATCTCCTTCACTTTGTACTATTTCTGACGAGCACAGTGTTACGTTGTGTTCCTGAGTTCGCTTTTGCAGTTTGCATCGTTCTTTCTTTTCTTTTTGCAGTTGATTGGCTTGGATTTATCTGAACAAGACTTCGTGAGCCCCAAAGATGCGTGGACGATTAAAGGGGATGAAGGAGACTGCAAGAACTGTAGCAAACGAATATGCATTGGGAAGTCGCATCATTCAACAACCATGAATCCACATCCATCATCGATCGCCTCAACTGCGACATCGTCACTTTTTTATGGAGGACTAACAGCATCTTAGGCAATAGGTTTTTGGAGGACTATTATCACCCTCGTCACTTATGTTTTATTTTGATGGTGAGACTTCTTGTTTAAGAATTTTGAGATTCGATGCCCTTTCAATTAATCAGCACTTAAAACATATGAAAATGTGAATCATATAACTAGAAATTATTAATCATGAAAATGATAAAAAAAATAATTAGTTAATATTAAAAACAAGCTATGTTTCCTAAAATGTCAGGATAGAATGTAGAGCATCGAAAACCTCATTGTGCTTATGCGTTTTGGGAAGGACAAGAAAGAAATCGATGAAAGGGGTTGACTATGGATCTGTTGAATAAGCGCCGAAAGTATTTTGACCACAACGAAGTCAACGATATTATTGAGATTAGAGATAACATTCTCGTGTACATTTTTTGTTCCTAAAGAGGAAATAAAACGACGGTAGAAACGCTTGGGGGCGAGTCCGCAAACGGTTCGTTTCGGAAGCGCTCACTGAGAGAAAACCAAACCGCAAGACCCCAAACACTGCGCCGAACCCTAACGGAGAGAGAACAAAGATCACCAGAAAATGGCGAGCGGCAGCGCGGCGAAGAACCCCAAGAAGACGAACCTCCTCGATCACCACTCCATCAAGCATCTCCTCGACGAATCCGTCACCGAGGTCGAAATCCGGACCCATGTTTCGCTTCCTCTTTCGTTCTCTCGATCTTTCGAATTTCTCGTTTGCCGAGATCTCTCGGTCTCTAGGGTTTCTTAGATGGAATCAGAGTCTTTGGATTCAGGTCGTCAAGAGTCGGGGGTACGCGGAGGACTCCAGGTTGAGCAACGTGAGGTTGCTGATCGGATCCATCATCATCGCCATCGCGCTCCTTGCGCAGTTCTACCCCAAGAAGTTTCCCGAGAACAGGGATTTCCTTATTGTTTGCATCGGATTATATCCTTCTTTCCATTTTGTTGTTTAAAGTTGGAATCTTTGTTATTTTTGCTTCCCCCTAAAAAAGCTGGAACTTTTGGTTGGTTCTTTTGATGAGATTGTTTTCTCTTTGACGTGGGCAAGTATGTGGTATTTAACGGGCTGTTGCAGTTCATCAGCTACACAAAGGAGAAGAACGCTATCCTTTTTACTTATCCTCCGGCTGTGAGTTCCCTTTTCTTGAATCAGTGTAGTGATTTTCGATGTTTTTACCTCGTTAATAATGGTCGTGTTGTAGATGTTGGTGTTAATGTGAAGGGATGATATGCCACAACTTCTGTTTCTTTTCTTTCATGTACTTGTATGGCAAGAAATTAGTTGGTTGTCTAATGAAAACGACCAATTGAAACAAGTTAAAAGATGGTGGTTAAGAGAAGGAAGATAAGGATGAGGCCTAGAAAGATGGGAATGTGAGGAGGAGGAGGAGGAGGAGGAGCCTCGATCTACGATGATCACACTAACAAGAAGCTTAAGATCCCAACCATTTTTGGGCAGCTTTATGAATCTATTGCTTTCAAGTAGCTCTATTTACTGTTACCTCACCAGTTTTGAACAATAACACGAGCCTTCATATGTTAATTCCAATAAAGTATTCAACTTATGTAGCACTTTCGTTGTGTCTTCTTTCACCACTAATTTTTTGATTCAGCTCATGCCAATGGTGACTCTGTGGTCTCCAAAGAAGTAAGAGCACAATATCATGGTCATCATATCCTTGTTGGAGATGTCAACACATGTACACATTGAACTTGTGTCGAAAACATTTTGTGTCTGATGGTTCTGCAAACTGATATTTATCATGAAAGTACATTTTGAATGTCAATGTCACTTACAGACTTTAGGTGCATTGTGATTCTAATGTTTAAAAGGTAATAAAGAAACTCTCACAATAATTATCTATTGGCTAACTCAAAAATGGATAAAACATCTATTAATCTCCTACAAAAGTCCCAGGCTACCTCTTAGTTGCTTAGGCATTAATTTTTGTGTGAGTTAGTTGTGGATCAAAATTTTTTTTTATCCCCTTTCGCTTCTCCTGAAATTCCTCAGCAACAGTAATGATAATGATATTTAGAGACAGTTCCTTTTTCTTCTTTTCTCATCCTTGTCATGACAACTAGAGGCACAGCTTATACTACCTGCAGAGCCATCACATCTTGAAGCATGCTTTAGTAATCACTTTTCTTTTGGATTATGTACTTTTTATGTCTGAATATGATCTTTCTTTTTTCTTTTGCCAAAATTTACTGGTTCTTCCATTTTTGCCTTCAAGAATAGGGAGTATAATCTAAAATCGAAAAATATGATGAAATCACTGATTTTGGAAGATGTTCAGATGATTGTAGTAATTAAGAACAGAAAACTGAACTTTTAATTTGTTGATAATTGGTACACACAAAAGCAACTACAGTGATGGTGTCTTACCATTTAATTCTCAAAGAATTTGAGTCAATTATAAGTTGGCTCAACCTTCATCAGGTGTTTGATGAACTAACATCATAGTGCCTAACAGAAAGAGTCATTCAAATAATGAGTATGCCAAGAATTATTTGTTGTTGTGAGATAATTGTTTGCGTCATTGTAATCGTGGTCAGATGGTAAATCATTTTGCTTCTCATTTGAGAAAAAAAAATACATTATTATATAGCTTATTGGGTTGTTTTAGGGGTGATGAGTTTCAGGCATTCAAACTAAATAATTTTTACCCTCGTGATACATATTTGAGCTCATACTCATTTTTATCATGGAAACAGGGATCTTTCAATAGTACTGGATTGGTTGTGTCTTCGAAGTTGCCAAGGTTCTCTGATATGTACACTCTTACAATAGCCAGTGCAGATCCAAAGTCCATTTCTGCTAATAAACCAGTTGTTCTGACAAAGAGTGTCACAAAATGGTTAGTTTTGTTTTTGTTCTATCTTTGTTATTTGATACAAACATCTCTTTCAGTGTGATTTCTTGATTCATGTTGATGAAATGTGAGTGTTAAATGAAATGACCGAGGGCCGTCAAGAAATTAAGATTTGAATCAGCAACAAAATTGAAAATTGATGTTAGCTTAATTTATTTATCGTTCTGTGATGATGTAACATGTTTTTCGTGGAAATTAAGGGATTTATGACCAAGGATTTAGAATAACTTGCTGAATTCTTGGCATAGTTTTTCCGGATATAGTATATTTTTAAAAAACCATAATGATGAAGGCAATTAGGGATATTGTTATAGTTGCATCTGTTCTAAGATTTGCTGCAGATAACTGCTGTGATAAAACAATCTTATCACAGCTTTTTGTCACCTTCATATTAAATTCCTACCTGAGCTTCTGTCAACCAATCATTTGACTTTTATTGAACATAGTAGTCATCAATCAAGTGAGTTCTTTTTAGTAGCAAAATTGGATAACACAATTATTTATCCAAATCCACTTTGTATCCTGGTGCAGTTGTAAATGGTTTACATGAATACAGGTGTATCATATAGTCATATACAAATGAGACAATGAATATAGTTCTAATTCCACCCACATCTGAATATTCGGGTGTTTGTTCTAGTGTTTAAATAAAAAAAATTATATTGTTGATTTTCTATGTATGAATATTGCCTTTTTTTTATAATTGTTTTACTTTTTGCATTTGTACAAGTCTAATCGTTCGAGAAATAAGTTTGGTGGATTTCTGTTACTTTTTGACTATTTGTTAGCCACATCCTCACTTCATGAAATATTCACATTTACATTTTCCTAAATTCAATTCAAAGCCATATCTGTTATTTATCTGACTATTATCGCATCAGATTAAACGTTCTTACAGATACGGTATTCTTTAGTTGCACATGCACAACCAAAATTTTATCTGCTTATTGTAAATGGATTTGGATATGGTTTTTCCAATATTGTATCATTAACCCCTTCGATAAGAAATAATTGTGGATGTGGGCAGAGGACCCAATGTTCTTTTCTTAAGTTGTCTTGTCGGATTTTGTTTTTGAGAAAACTGATCCAACTCATTGTTTGTGAGCTTGTTTGGCATGTTAGCTTCATGATTCACCTGTTTCCCCCTCTCTTTCAGGTTCACCAAGGATGGTGTCCTTGTTGAAGGTCTCTTCTGGAAGGATGTTGAGAAACTGATTGATGATTACAATGGGGATCGGAAGAGCAAATGAGATCAGACGTTTTCAAGACTAGTTTATGAGATCAGACGTTTTCAAGACTAGTTTATGAAAACCTGCTTTAGACATTTGGTGCAACGGGGAGCCCTTTTCTGATTGAAGCATTTGCTAGATTGCGCAACATAATGATAGTGGAAGTAAATTGCATGAACTAACTCAAAACAGCTTACAAATTGTTAAATCCAACATTCTGTCGCAAGCAAATGTCATCTACTGACTGGCCTGCTGAAATCAAGAAATCCAGTTTCTCGGAAATGCTTAATAACATGGAATGAAGTTTCTTGCAATTCTGAATTTTGCTAAGTAGCTTAATTTCTTTGTTATCAAAGGTGATTCAATAATTTGCAATGGTTTACATCCCAGAGAAGCATGTGTTTGGTGGCTTCTGCTGGATGAAACAATCAATCTTCAGGCTTTACCAGTAGAAGCCATCAGCAAGAATCCTTTATTATGCTACCATTTCTTCAAACTGGTGTTTGATGAACTGCTAGTTTTGGAAGTTTTGTCTATATTAAATTTCAAAGGATGGTGATGTTGGTATGTGACAGATGCACTGAACATTCTTATCAAGCCTTAGATTTCTTTTTATTTTATTAATAATCATGACATGTCGGTTAAGAATGGGGATAAGATCTTTGTCTGTGTTTTAATGAGCTACAGATAATATCGCTTCTATTTCGTTGGAAGAATTATGAATATTGTTAAGTATACTTTTCATCTTATATCTAACAACACATGTATTCCGAAAAGAAGAAAGGTTGGCTACTATCTCGAAAAGAAGGGATTCTTTTCCTCCATATGTATCTAACGTGGACATGAATGAATGGGGATTGAATTCTTTCTTTCGTCAATAAAACTTAAAAGCTTTAGAAAATATATGCAATATCTGAAAAGTGGAATTTAATTGATGAAACCATCAAATCCTTTTTTCTGTGAATGTGGCATGACTATTTTGTGTGAGATATCTGCAGCTTTAGCCTGTAGCCAACTCTGACAACGGCAGTGGCTACAATCCAAAATTATAGTCAGTAGTATATCACGCTTTCTGTTCATCTTTGCGGATACATCTTTGGGAATCAAAAGCAGTGTCATCAGAGTGGCAGTGGTCACCACTGATGCCCCGACAACAACATCTCCCATCTGAAAGCCCCAATTGCAGCAGTTCCATTACAGGTTAGGATTATTTACTAGTCAGTCTCTTCAACAGAGAGAGAGAGAGAGAGAGAGAGAGAGAGAGAGAGAAAACCTATTGGACCACCAACCAGGAGATGCTGAAATATATCAGAAGAAAAATTGCTCAAGTTTGGCAAATTTTCTATCCAGTAGTTAAAAAACATAATAAGAAGAATAAAACAAAAAAGAAAAGAATGAGACTTTTAAATCTTAGTCATCAATAATATCTTTAATATTTAAAAAATATAATTATGTATATCGATTTTCTCTCAATATATTATATTAATGAGAGAGTCTCACTGAATATATCTTTTTTCAGTCACTAATATTTTTCAAGTTCCTTTAGTAAGTATGACTACCTTCAAAATAATTATCGAAAATTTATTTAGTAAAACTAATCATTTATCTGAACTAATTATATATTATCTTATATAATTAGTCGCTTTTAACATCCTGATCTCCATGTTTTTAAATATTAAATTAGCATTCTTATACTTTAAAACATTGAGATGCTTATACAGAATTTAAAAAATAATTTTATAAAATTTAAAATCAAGAAAGAGAAAGGTTTTGTTGAATTAACAAATTAAATGTCTCTCTTTATTCAGTATAGAAATAATCTCAATGTAATTTTTGAAAATATAACGATCAAAATACTAAAAATAACTAATTACAAAAGATAATATATAATTAACCTCATTTATCCCTATTAAACAAAATCTAGTCTTCCAGCAATATCATAATGCATTTAAGTCATTTAACTTCATCTACCTACAACCAAAGGAAAAAGAAAAAAAAATCCAAAGATCAGACAATGGAGATCTCCGCCTGCCTTCTCGCTGCTTTCCTATTCCTCCTCTTTTCTCTCACTTCAGCCACGGACAGTAAGAGTAAGTGCTTCCTCTCTATCTTCCCTCACTCTCTTCTTCTTGGATCTCAGTAAGGAGCTCTTCCTCACTGTGGAAGGGAGCTCCATTTCTGCTGGGATCTGTGGAGTCAGTGCTGCATTGTCTGATTCAGGAGTCCGTCCTCCTATTTGCGTTTCTTTCCTTTTTTTTGCTATGATGGTTTTTCTTTCCTTTCATTTGGTTGCGTGCCATTTGACGATGTTCACGTTTCTGTACGTGAAGCAGATTGCTTGGTGATGCTAAATGGTTAGGTGGATTTTGACTATATTGTACTTTCTTGTTCATCTTGTGTTCTCTTGTTGCTTTGCTGCTGAATCAGATGCTTACTTATCTTTGTTTGTAATTTCCAGCAACGTAATCGATTTAGATTCTCTTAGTAACGAAGCATCACTAGGATTTTAGTAAATTATTACATTATAAGGTGATATAAAATATATAATCAGTCAACCACGTCAAGCTAATGCCACGTAAACCTCAAAAAGAGTAAAAAGACTCGGACATCTTGACGCCCAGAAATCGAAAAGGTAGTTCAGATTAATTATCGAAATACTTCCCCCTATATAATATTCTCGGGACTTCAAAGACAGCTTTAATCGGTTACGAATTATCTCCCTTTAGAATATTCATAAGAATATTTTTAAAAATTCACAAGAACATAGTGAATTATTATTAAAACTTTAAGAATCTGTACCTTTATTTTGGTTCTTCCGACGATAGATCAAATGCAAGAAAAATATGATTATAAAGTTTGTTGGATAGGATTAAATAGTTTAATCATAAAAAAATATGATTTATGGAGTGAGTCCTTATATTTTGATGAAGGTGCACAATAAAAATAGAGTGCTTCTATAAGAATAGAAGATCAAGTATTAGTCTTAGTAAGAAGCCGAGTAGATAGATGAAAAAGCTCGTGGATTATAACAATTTATTCAAACTTGTGCATTATATGAAGATTAATTATCAATCTCAGAATCAAAGCACTTCAAACCGGCTTAGCCACTTAGTTAATACTTGATGACTCTTTAGTCATTATTGTGGCAAAGGATAACTCATACTGTCTTCATTAATCATGATCATCCAAGCTAGAGCATTGGCTTACATGCCATCAAATGCAAAGTTAAAGGGAGCTTGAGAAGGCTCAAAAGTCTTCTAATCATCTTGGGAAGAGGGGTCAACCATCATGAAAAATGATAATTATCTGCCGGAAAGTAGGATAGGTTCAAGAAGGTATTTAATTGTTGTCATCATTATCTGGTGCATATTTTGTAGTGGAATTAGGATCCAGAGAAACTGTGTTTTAGAGGGATTACATGGATTGATGAGTTTAGCTCTTCACTCTTAACTTCTAAATACTAGTTATATAATGACAACCAGTATATTTCCTACCTGTCCTTTTTCCATCTCTCTCTTCTCCCTTTAATTTTCTTTCTGCCTCAATTTTCTCTTTAGAGTTTACCTTCCCTTTACTGTAACATTGAATAGTAGGCAACCATTCTCTCAGCTTCTCAATTTGTTAATACTATTAGCTGAAATATGATTGAAAGAAGCTTCTTTAAGTTTTGTCATTCCACATAATTGTTCATATTGTACTTGTTTTCTCCCTAATTTTCCTCATTAACAGCTCTATAAGCATCTTTCTTGCCCCAAATTTCCTTGTTTTTTACAGATAATCCTGCAAGACCAGCTTGTGGCAGTGATCAACAGCGACAGAACATCCCACAAATCGCATGCACTATTTGACAATGCAGGCCTTGGTTGCTTAGCCTTGCAATACATCAAAGCCTACCAGGGTCAGTGTGGTGAGGTTGGCGACAACAAGAAGCCACCTGACACTAGTTTTGTCGACACATTTGCTCCCAATTGTGGTGTCGAGGCACCAACCCTTGCTCCGATCACCGGTCGGCTACTTGCCTGCCAGAGCACCTATGTCTCTCCCGAAGAGGCCTTCGATATCTTGATTGAAAATGGTAGGAGCCTGCAGATTCTGTATGACAAGAACCACACTGAAGTAGGAGTTGCTGTGAGTGGCACTGATGGTGGAGCTCCCTACTTCTGGTGCGTTCTGTTTAGCAACGGGACGACAAACGGCAGCTTCGTGCTCCAAAGAGGAGTGACGAAGACTGTCCACCCTGGATGTTTTAGCGGCAACGACGACGACTGCAGCGGTGGCAGTGGCTTCAGCAGTGGTATATGGGCTATGGCTGCTGGAATTTGGATTGCTGTTGCTTACGAGTGATCCATGATAGTAGGAGAGGAACATACCATTTGATGTTCTTTATTCTTTTCCTCGGTTAAAGATGATGAACATCATGAGAATTTTCCTTAATCAGTACCATTTAAGCTTCCTTAATGTATCGAGAACTCGATATATAATATCAATTTCTTGGAGCATCAAACTCCCTCCATTTCATTGTTGTTATTATTCAAGTTAGGAGTTTATTGTTGTTGTAGACAACTAAATATGAACATTTAAAATGAAATAATGAACCACATAAATTTATTTTCATTTCTATGAAACATATGATTGTAATGACCTATCATCAGATAAAATTGATCTTTCAATAGGCCACAGAATCTAATCTAATGTCTTGAGCTTGCACAAATGCCATGTAAATTTCACTAGGTTATATGAGTGAATAAACCAGTAGCTAGAAATAAATACTAGCTTTGAATAGTTCTCCTGTCAAAATGATTTCATAGTTTTATGTATTTCTCAGGGCATTATGATTCCTTTTGCACATCTCTAAAGAAAACTCAGTCATTTAATGTGTAACAAAGAAAACAGAGAATGTTACATTGGCAACAAAATCATCTCCATACTAAATGATCTCTCTCTCTCTCTCTCTCTCTCTCTCTCTCTCTCTCTCCCATGCCATTATCTACCTCAGAGAGGTCCAATTGATTTCCTTAAACATAGCCTTACAAAACATTAGAAAGAATGGCTACACATTTTTTAATTTTTGCACTCAGATGATAGCTTAGAGCTGAGCGGCTAAGATCTCATTCCATGTATCAGGAATACCTGGCAGGCACCAATGCAAGCAATCCTGAACACCTTGTGTGCCTTTAATACTGTACTTGGAGATATGCCCCTCATCCCTCAGTTGGGATAAAGCAGTGATATCCAAAAGCTCAACACTCGTGCCATTCACAGCACTTACAGCAGCTACATCAACAGCAGCATCCTGTGAAACAACACTCCCACCTGCCAGTGGTTTGGTATTATCACAAGTACCTCCAGAGTTCCACTCTCCATTAAAGAAATGCCTGGGAGAAATTGACCTATAAAATGCTTTCAGCCGTGGATGCAGTGGCAGCTGGCCGTCTAACCACTTGACGACACTATGAACAGCAAAATCTTTGGCACTTCCCATGGGTGCAAGCTTCTTGTCGGTGTTGGGTGCTCCATTAACATACATTTCCCACCTATTAGCATTTAGCTTCCCTCTGTTCCAGTGGTGGCCAGTGTTAAGAATCAGAACATCAAATCTATGAAGATTTTGGCTTAAAAATGATGTTGGCCGATCAAGGTGCATGGCATAATTAGTAGCTGGATCTGATACATTCAGAGGTTCCACATCACAGAGGGTTGCAGACCAGTAGTACAAGATGGTGGTATTGGTGCTTGAGAACTGATAAGCCCAACCATTTGGTCGTGCAGCATCAGGGCCTGTGACAAAACCATACTGTAGCCCAACATCTTCCACATCGGATCTTTGTTCGCCACCGGACACCATACACATAAGTGATTGGAACTGCTGTCTTCCCAAGGAATCCCCTACAAAGGCAATGGTTTTGTCCTGCATCCTAAAAGACATTTAAACATTTAGAAAGCAAAAAAAACAATAGTTCCTCGTATTCTAGAATACATAAACGATACTTTGGTCCTAGAATACACGAACATCAATGAGACCACCAAACATGCATCAAATAAAGGACGACAACAAAAGAAAAAGTAACTGCACCTTCTCAAGAATTTGGAACCCTCAAACTCGGGCATATCACAGCTTTCTGGCTGCCATCTGAATTTTTCATAGGAGAAATCTTTCCGCTGAGTCAATCTACATGCCCAAGGTTCAGATAGCCACTGTTTACATCCAAACCCAGAATACAAAGGTCTTCTCTCGTGTGAAACCCATTTCCCTTTTGCGTAGTTACAAGCTAACATAATCAAGAGATCAGAACATTGTGGATGATGAATTAATAAACTTCAAACATCTTCTGAAATCTAGTCAGATAGATGATTAGCACAAAAATTGCTATCTAGTTTATCGAATGCAGAAAGATTAAAGGTTATCACATATTAAATGATGAGGAAACACAAATTTTACAAGGAATTAAAAATGAAAGAGTTCATGCAACTTATCACATATACGTATCATTTGAGAATCAGAAAATTGACTCTAGGAAATTGGAACAACTGCAATATGAAACATCATCAAGAGCAAAAGACTACCGTTATTCTCTACAGTTATTGCTTGAAGACCTTCATCCACTTCTGTTGTTTTACTTGCTGTTGGAGAACCTACTGGCTTATCACTGAGAACTTGCGGTACTGTTCCATTTGTCCGATTTCCAATTGTGTCAGCATCTGGAAAATCTTCCTCTTCTGATGGAAGCTGATGGATATACTTAATGCGAGCAACTGGAATTAATAAAAAACCAGAGAACTAAATGGTGAGGAAAGATAGAACACCATTATTAGCAAAAGAATTAAAGAAATGAATATTGATGTATAATAAAAGAACATAACAGACCTTGAGGATACAAATCCTGCTCATGTTGTGGGTGGAAAGTATCTTGGTGCGGTGTTCTCTCCCATCCCCATATAAGAAGCGTTGTGAAGATGATGATGAGAGTGAGCGAAAGACGTTTACCTCTCAGTCCATTTAGAGTCCCCAATTTCATCCCTCTACAAACAAGCCAAACCACTTATTTTTGGCTTAAAAGGTGTGCAGACATAACATCACAAGATCCAGTTTCCTGTCTGCCGGAGAATGTAAAGAAAAAGAATGAAAAGGAGGGGGTCAAACTTCTGTTCTGATGATTTATCTTACAGACATCAACAGACGTTGCAAATATAAAAACAACTAAACTAATTAAAAAGATTGATAAAGAACAAACACTTCAATCCTTCCAAGTGTTTCTGGTTTAGCTCTTTAAAACACTGTTTGTACCTCACGTTGTAACCTTTATCTAACTTGATTTGCCCCTATATTCTTAAACTCTTCCCAAGCCTAGAAAAACCTCCATGTGCAACTTCAATTGGACGCAAGTAGGTTGCAGTAGTTATGTCACCAGAATATCAACTAGCTCATCTCTAAGATTACATGATGACTTCCCATACCTGATCCAGGCAGATGGATTCATAATGCTGCAGCAGCTTATTGTGTAATGCTAGTTGACATATTTGCATGCTTGTTGAATTTTATATATCTTAATTGATAATCATAATACAATTGTGAACCTACACTATCGTTTAGTGCACCGATACGCATGCCAACTGGATCATCCTCTCCTGCAATCATTGATTCAAATGTAACACAACTGATGCAGAAAACAATGCGGGAGAAAAGATTGCTAAGTTGTTAGATGCTTGTGGATGAACAAATAGCTCGGTCGACACCCTGAAACACGAGTTTGATAACTCTTATCAATTTCCATATAGTCTTTATCTAATCAAAATTTGATACATGCAGAATAGGACAAAGAGAATCAGTGAAACCAGAGTTCCCATTCAATTAGATCAACTCTTCCAATTTGTGTCAGTACAACAGCTACAGAAACCCAAATCTTGAAAGAAGAAACAAACATGCTAGATATCTCAAACTCTGCTAATCATCAAAATCCAGAAGTAGAACCGCAATTACTAGCCATTGTCCCAAATGTTTGTGAGGCTTCATGAGCCATCATTAGAGTCCTGCTAGTCATAAATAAATCTAGGAAAAATGTTTGCCCAACGATTGGAACAACGTTTATAAGATTCATGCAGGACATGAAGAAAGATCAGCATTTTCCCGGTCATCAAGAGAGTGCACATCTATGTCTTGAGCTCAAAAAGTCCTAATATCTCCAGATTTTTCAGAGTTTGGGATAGATCTACTACTTACCGAAAACAAATTAAACGTAAGACGAGATAGGCATACAACAACACGAAATAGAAAAAAAAAAAGAAAAAAAAGAGGAATTAAATCCAAGAAATTAGGGCGAAAAGCTCGGTCGCTATAATCACATTGATTATTTTTTCCTTGATTTGACGATGAATCATGAAGGGGAAGCGGAAAGGAAAGAGATTTCGCAGTGATGATGGCTTGACTTGCACCAAATACCAAACCAGACTCCGAAAAGGAAACTAGACAACCCACACGAAGAGTGTATCGGCTCGTACCTTGCAGGATGTGTGGGTCCGAATCCGATCGATTCAGAGGAAATCGAATGCAGAAGAAGCGACGGACTCGAGGGAGGAGAGAAGGAAAGAAGGGAAGGGGACGAGGGCGGCTAATTTTCTACCGCGAAGTGGTCGGGCCGCCGTTGCTTTCTCCGAGAAGTAATCGACCGACGTCGTGAAGGGGAAGGAATCAGCATTTTTACGAAATTACAGATAATAGATAATAATCAAAACACATTTCAGCCGTCCGATCCCAGTGAACCCCGCGTCTCGACGCGTGTAAACTCGTCGCTGCATCCCCATTTTTCATTCCTTTCAAATGTAATATAGTTTTCTTTTTTGGGGAAAGAATAGTTCTGTGCGTAAATGTTTGGAATGAGCGCATTTACCCATCCAAATTCTAATTATGACGTATGCATCTCTATAAATATTATATTCGTTCGTGAATTTAAATGCTTCGCTCTCAATTCACTATAAGCATTCGAATCTGAGATTTATTACTTACCTAATGATATATATTAACTAATTTGAATATCGCTCATTAAAACTCATTAATTAATTAAGATTGTCCATTATCAACCAAAAAACAATTTTAATTTAAGCATCTAAAATCCCCTTTCACTTATACTGATCATTTGATGACTCTTTAGCTTTTGAACATGAATTTATGGAAATAATATATATAATTTTCCTTTTCTGTTTTTTAAAGCTTAGATCTCATGTTTATGCCCTCCCACATAGTTAGAAGAAATTTATTTAAGTGAAACCAAGTATTCATATTTATGTCAACTATGAAGAAAATTATTAATTGTTTGTTCAGGTTTTTTATTGTTTTAATTGTATAGAAACCCAAAAAAAAAAAAAGGAACTTTTGTAATGTATTTTTTTTTATCGTATCGGAGTATATAGTGAATTAAGAAACAATTTGTGACAATTTATTATGAAAGCTCAAAATATGTGGTCATATTTTACTTATGTATATATAACTAATTTAAAGAAAAACTTACATCAGATGAAGCTAAATAGATTATCTTGACGTATATTTATTGTAAGCTATTCTCTGCATAATAGGTATTGACGTATGCAACGCTTACATCTGATGATGCAAAATTTACATTAGATGAGTCTAAAGAAAAAATAACAATTTTCTGCAAACATAATAAATTTAGAAAGATTTGATGAATTAAAATTAAATTATAAGAAAGATGGTATTGACGTATGCACCATTTACTATGAATTCATTTGCACATCATCGAAAAGAAAGATTAAGATGTTACAATAGTATCGTAATTCAATCAATAAATTCTCAAGGAAAATAAAGTGTATCTTTCTAACCGCAAACCCCACAAAAATATGAGTACTTCCAGCGTATCTTTCGTCGCCGATGTCACTTCACGTCTCCTACAAAATGCATGAGTAATGAGTATATGGACACATTAAACATACATCCAATGCATGTTAATGAATATATGGACATACATGTCACTTCACGTCTCCTACAAAACTCCAACGCATGAGTAATGAGTATATGGACACATTCAACATACATCCAATGCATGTGTAATGAATATATGGACATACATATTCGATAAGACATAAATGTCTTAAGAGGTGGGATATATATATATATATATATATATATATATATATATATATATTCATCTATTAAAGTATCTTGATATGTTACAGTGTTTTTGGCTTATTAAAGTGTTTTGACCACAACAACAAAAACACTGTAAAGTTTATTTAAAATTATTATAAATAAATCGAATAAAATCAAAACATATAGAATGTATTTGATATATCATATTATGATTCAAATAAATATTTATAATAATTTAGGAACAACATCATCCAAATAAAAATAAAAAATTTACTTGTTATAATGTTTTGAATATCAAAATAAAATACTATAAAGCATATTCAATCCAAATAAACGTCTAACCTCAACCAAATCAAATACGAGCCTAAATATATGGTATCACAATGATTTACAAATAATAATAATAGAAAGAGATATAGTATGATGTCAATTATAATATTTTTTTAATAGTGTTTATAATATTTTTACTACTTCTATAAAAATATTATAAATGAGTCAAATGAAAATAGTATAATAATTTCAAATTTCTAAAAATCGATAAAATTTTTAACCAAAAATTGTTTTAGGGATCTTTTGGTTTTTTTAAATTAAAAATATTATTATAGAAAAGATAATCATATGTATATGAATATTTTTATAAAAATCATATATATATTGAATCTCGTATTTTAACGATGAAATCAATTGATTTATGATCTAATCCATGTGTTGAGAAAAATGATGCAGGACTATCTACGATTATAAAAAGGTAAAACAATTAAAGAATTGAACGTTAGGTTTGAGTTAAAGATCGGGCATCGAGAATGGATGGATCGAATATTACGTCGAGGATTTGGACGATACACCGAAAGCTCACCGAGAGTTCGTTAAGAGTTTACGAAGTTCATCAAAAGTTCAGATGAACAATTGACATGCCGAACAACTAAGATTGCTTGTATTATAATTATTTTAGCCTTAATTATTATAGTTACGTATCAATTTGAGTTAGTTTAGGAGTAATCCTACTAACTCGATTAGAGACCAATTTGGGTTAAATTGGGCTAGATAGATGGCCCATTCAATGGCCTAGAGCCACATTTGGCGGTGGAACCACTTGAGGCTCGATCTCCCAAGTATTGTTTCGGTGGTGGTACCACTAGAAGTTAATATTGTCAAGCGATGGTACTGCCTGACAGGCGGTGGTACGCTAGAGCCCAATCTCTGAGGTTCTATCAGGCAATCGTATCGCTCAGACTAATGGTAATACCGCCAGTTGTTATGGGAGTAGGCGATAGTATCACCAGTGCCTCGGAAACCTAGGATGAGACACTTTTTGACTCCATTTTGAAGTCATTTGGGGCTTATAAATACCTCACTCTTTCCTTCACGAAAGAGCATGAAAAAGTGAATCAAAAACTTATGATTTAAGTGAGAAAACGCTGTTATAATTCCTTGAGAGTTCCCCTCCTCTTCCCTAAGTATAATTTTTGTTTAAGGGAGGGCTGAGAGAATTATAAAGGTTATCTCCTAAACCTGTGAAAAATAGAATAGAGCTGTAAGAGGATAGTTGATCTTCACATATTGAAAAAAAATCAATAGTGGAGGCTGGTGACCTCAACGGAGAAGGAATCGGGAGTGGATGTAGGTTATGACGATCGAACCACTATAAAATTAGTAAATTAGTGTATCTTCTATTCTTTGTCTTTTTATTTATATTGTTTATAATCTATGAGTGACATCACATGCACAGCGAAAGAACAGAAAATAAAAATCTCCAAATTTACCAATTATATGTTCATCGTCATGCGAAGATTTGTGAACAAAATCCACAAAACTGAAAACTGCATATATGAAAGATTATGTTTTACATAGGGAGATCATATATCCTTAAATCACTACAGATATGTAAGAGAGTATGAAGGAGGTCAAGCATCCTCCTCTCTAGCGGTGATCCACATAATAGGGCTACGATGATGCTCCTCTAATTGTTGCCCAAAACTCTATACATGCAATCTGAGAAGGAGAAGGGAAGAGGAGAATAGGAAGTGGGAACCAAGAAACCTCTTGCCTATGGGTGTTTGGTTTCCTCCTATTTATAGAGGCCCCTTATCAACTAACTATAATGGATCATGTCCTATTGGGTATTGAATCTCCATCCAACTACCCAAGCCACTTAGATTAGTAGATTTCTATCCAATAATTTTTTATTGGCTCTTATTGGATCTCATCCATAGGATTCAATCATTCAGGAGCTTATTGGATATCCAATAAGATAGGAACTTCGACGTATATCTTATATCTGAACCTCTAATTGTCACAACGCCTACCATATGTGTGTGACCCTCTAGGCTCAATATAGAGATGGTCGTGAGTCATACCTATTAGAACTTCTTTTGGCTCAATGAATTATTATCTCCATAATAATTCACTCGACTCATCGACTACGAACGTACTAGGCTACTACACAGCAATCCTCAAACGATATAGGGGAATCTAATCCCTTGGACATATCTGTCCTTAATTACCGTGTATATATAGTCCCTCATATATCTAATATCCCATAGATCGTATATCGAGCATAGTATTGTCAAACTCATATGATTTCTACTCGAGTCTCAGTCTAATCGGATTCTCTCGGAGAACTCATTTTTTCTCAATCTGAATGACATTGATCATGAATTTGTCTAGACAAGAACACATGAGATATTTCTATTATAAAATCGAAAGTGGATGATCCTCTATCGACTCTCAACAGTCATCGTAAAGTTGGCCGTCACTTCCGATGACTGGTTGTGCTAGATCTGAAACTTTCAGGCCTATAAATCCAATATCAAAAAGTAGAGTACTTATATAACACATCTTTTGTGTCTCAAGTTAATAT